AAGGTCCCTCAGCTCCAGCGTGGGCCCTGCCGCAGCCTGCCACCTCCTGCAGGGTTGTGGATGCCGCTAACAACCTGCCTTGTGGTGCCGCACATTAAGCTGTCCCTTGTAAGGCAGCATCCCTGTATGGAAGCACCTGTTTGAGTCCTACGTGTTCTGCTTCTTATTCAGCTTCCTGCTGATGCAGAGGAAGCAGAAGGCAACCCACATCCCGAGGTCTCTGCCATCCGTGTAGGAGATCAGGATGGAGTTCCTGGCTCCCTCCTTCGATCTGGCCCGGTCCTGGCTGTTGTGGCCATTTGGGCAGTAGGCCAGCGGGTAGAAACTTATTGTCTCTCTCTATTTCTCTCTTGTGTGCTCTCTCTCTAGTCCTTTCTCACTCTAGTTTTGTCCTTCAAATAAATAAACCTCTCAAAAGGTTTATTGACATCAATTCATAGTCTTTTTGATAATATGCCTTTTCCATTGAAAACCCCTGGAATTCAAGCATGTTAGTGAAGTACAAGATCATAGAGATGAACTCTGTGACCAGCCAGCATGCAAGGTGAACTGTGAAGGCCAAGCAGGCCAGGCCTGGGACTGAAGAATGCTCTGTGCACAGGGGATGAGGTTGGAGGGGTGTGATAGGCAAAGTCCCTCAGCTAATGGGAAAGGAGCAGCAAGGCTGACCAAATGCAGGAGCCAGGAGCAGGTGCCCAGAGATCATCTCAAGAAGGAAGCAGCCTGCATCCTTAGGAAAGATCCACCTGCAAAGAGGAAAAAGACAGCCGAGACCCAGGTGATGACTGATGCTCTGCTGAAGGGGAAACCAGCAGGGTGGGGTGGCAAGAGGAAGCCAGATCACGGCGAGGCAGGGGCCAGCAGAAGTGACACTGTCACAGCTGACAGATGACACAGGGTTAAAGTGAACAGGTCTGAGGTAGAGACCCTGAGGTATGGGCCATGCAAGTGGATACCGAAACACAGAGGATCAAGGCAAAAGAAATGAAAATAATAATAATAATAAAAGTCATCACTAAATCTAGGGGACAGAAATCAGTTTCTTGAAAAGCAAAAAAAAAAAAAAAAAAAAAGAAAGAAAACGCCAGCCTCAAACTGACCCAGCAAAGAGATGGGTTTGCCTCTAAAACCTACAGAATGAATAATTACAGTGGTAACCAGGAGGAACTTGCCCAGCTGTCCCTACACCTGCAGCCAGGATGGCGGGCAAGGAGACCTTGGCCTATAGACTGGAGCCAGCAGTAGAAAAGACACTATTGGTACACCTGCTCCTCCCAGAGCCTGTGGGGAGGCACTGTCAGCCTCCTGAAAAACAGAGCACCTGTTCTCTTGCTCTCTGCTCCCTCTTACTCCCCTCCCTCGCTGCAGTCCTGCAGCCCAAGCTCGCAGGGAAGAACCCAGCTTAGAGATGAGGTGTGATCTGCCTGGTGCCTGTACTTTGGTCCAGCACTCAGCATTCTTTCCACAGAGGCCACACTGAGTGGCCATGCTGCAGAGGAGCCAAGCACGGAATTTAGAGATTCTCAGGCTGGAATGAGGTGCATCCTGACTTGCACGCATTTGGACAGAATTTGCTCATCTATTTTTTTCTGGATAGTAGGATTCCAAAATATTTCTATAGACATATTTATCTGAAAGCCAGAGTTACAGAGAAAGAGAGAGAGAGGTCTTCTATCCACTGGTTCATTCCCCTAGATGGCCACAAAGACCAGGGCTGGGCAGGCAGAAGCCAGGAACCAGGAACTTCCTCTGGGTCTCCCCTGTGGGTACAGGAGCCCAAGGTTTTTTGACATCCTCCAGTGCTTTCCCAGGTACACTTTTAGGGAGCTGGATTGGAAATGGAACAGCCAGGACATGAACTGGCACCCACACGGGATGCCAGCATTATAGGGAATAGCTTACCACAACACTCCAGAATTTAAAATTAGCCCTGGACTCCTCTCTGGTTTCCAGGTGTGCCTTATTGAGTGTGAGAGCAAAGCATGAGTTGGTAGCCAGACTCCGGTAAATCAGGAATTAATGATGGAACAAACACTAGCCAGGAGGCAATCGTGTTTTCTAGAACTCACACTGCCAAACAGTGAACTTCTCTGCTCCACACTGCATAGTTTTTCCTGGAGCCTTGGAGGGGGGACCCTGAGATGTCTGGGCTTGGCCAGGTGAAGACGGGCCGTAGACCACCACTTTAGGAAAGGGAAGAGGAGTGCGGGGGGGAGGGACAGACAGCTGGACAGGTCAGAGGCTGCGGCTTTGCTCCTGCGGCCATTACTTCATCCTGACTCTGTTGATTCTGAGATGGTTTCAGGAATAGAATTTGAGGGGACATTTCAAGGAAGGGAAAAATGAAAGAAATTCTAGAAATTAATTAATTAATAAATACTTAAAGAAATCATTACATATATATAGGTTTTTTTTTTTCCATTGGAGAGGCAGAGACTGAGTTCCCACCTGCAGATTAATTCCCTACATGCCCTTAGTGGTGCCCTAAAGCAGGAACCCAGCTCCTCCCATGGTCTGCATTGGTTGGAAGCTGGCAGGCCACAGCCGGGAATCAAAGCCACGTCCTCCATCTGATATGGAGCAGGGCACCTTCACCGCTGGGCTGCCTCTTCCCGGATCCCTATTATTAGCAAGTAATTGAGAGCCACCTGACAAGCTTGAATAAACTACATATTTCTGGACCCTCTCACCCCACCCCCAGAATCAAAGAGTCTGATTTTGCTGATCTGGAATAGCCGTTTCCCTCCCTCCTCCCCCACCAAATGCCTGTAACAGCTGGGGCTGGGCCCAGTTGAAGTTGGGAGCCAGGAACTCCAGCAGGGTCTCCCACATGAATGACAGGGCCCAAGGACTTAAGCCACTGTCTGCTACCTCCCAGGGGACATGCTAGTGGGGAAGCAGAGGCAGGGCTCTATCTGAGGCACCAGACATGGGGAGCAGGCATCCCAAGTGCAGGACCCAGGAATCTGCTGTTTTAAAAGTACCCTGGCGGGGAGGTGGGCAGTGGGCACAGAGGCTAAGCTCTTGATTTGAATGTCCATATCCCATGTAGGAGTGCTGGGGTCAAGCCCGGCTCCTGCTCCTGATCGCAGCTTTCTGCTTGTGTGCACACCTGAGGCAGCAGGTGACGGCTCGAGTAGTTGGGTCACTAGGACACCACAATGGAGTGGTTCTTGGGCATTTGGGGAGTACACCAGTAGACGAAGATTCCATCTGTCTCCTTCACAGCTCTTCCCCCTTTGTCTTTCTAACTCTAAAGTGAACCAATGTGTTTTAAAAAGTAAATGTATAAACAAGTACCTGGGCTGGTACCATGGTGCGGTAGGTTAAACCTCCCAAATGGGTGCCAGTTCGTGATCTCTGTTCACATGCCTCGGAAAGCAGCAAAAAGATGGCACGAGCCTTTGGGTAGGTGGGAGACCCACAAGAAGCTCCAGGATCCTGGCTTCAGATCGGCCCAACTCCAGCCACTGCAGCCATGTGGGGAGTGAATCAACAGATGGAGGAGTTCTCCCTCTGTCTCTACTTTCTCTGTAAATCTGCCTTTCAAAAATATATGTATATATATTTTTTTAAAAGAGAGAGAAGTACCCAGGGTCTAATATACACTGACCTTCAAGGCATCAGAAAAATTAAAAAATCGTTTTTAAATTATTCATTCTGATATTGGCCTTAGCTTTTCTTTCTTTTCTGGAAAGAACAAATACGAGTGTCTGCAGTTCTCAGGGTGGGTCATTCTTGGAGTTGCAAGAATAAAGCTTGTTCGGAAGCACTGATCTAAACCCAATTCCTTCATTTTAGAGAAAAGGAAAGTTTAAGTGCCTTCCTCCAGAGGCACACAGCCAACTGGAGGCAGGAGCAAGAGTCCTGGTTTCCTGGCGGCAGGGTTGGACAGCTTTTGGTCCTGGCTGGACCCAAGAACAGCCACTCCTTAAAGGACCACACCCCAGACTTGAAGGCACTCTATTTTTTCCAAATAAAGACTGGAAAGTAGGTAACCCTCAACTTTCTTTTTGCAGTTGCCTTAAAGGGTATTTTGTTAGGATCTCCCTCTCTGGGCTTAAAAAAAAATTAACCAGCTCATCTAGTTTCGTTTGTTTGTTTTTTAATTTCCTGAAGTGTTGTTGCCAAGTCCAAACTCATATCTATTTCCCTGACCACAGTCAGATGCAATAGGACAGTTGGTAAGCCATTTCTGAAAATCTTTTTCTCAATTTAAGAATGATTGATTGATTGATTGATTGATTGCACTGAAAAAGCAGAGTGACACAGAGAGGTGAGACAGAGAGAATGAGGAAGAGAGGAAGGGTGGGGGAGAGATATCAAACTGAAACCAGGAGCCAGGAGCCCCACCCATGTCTCCCATTTGGGTGGCAAGGATCCTCCCCAGATCAGCAGCAGGGCAACCAGCACTGCAGCCAGCATCCCGATGGGAGATTTTGTTGTCTGCACTGGCCATGTGACTCAGTGTGGCCACAACTCCGGCTCCCAAACATTTCCAGCGTTTAGCTTTATCAAGACTGGGGTTTTATCGGACTAGGGGCTCACACTGAACTCCAGGAGCCCCCCAATAAGTATCAGGAATGATTTGTGCCCAGGAAATAGAAGAGAGAGCCCAGTATCCAGAAAAGCAAGATGCAGACAAGGAAACTGGTAGATGTGAGTGGCTGTTTGCAAGAATCCTCTTGCACGAATTCACCGATTTTAAAAATGAACTAACCCGACCGTGCCAGCTCGCAGTAGCCTTGTGCTGGAAGCGACTGAACCCATTGCCATCTTCGGCTAAGTTGATTAATAAAAAATATTTATTACACAAATCCTTTCTGTTGACAAGTTAAAATGGAGCCTCATCTTTCATATCTCCCTGAAGATTGCCATCTTGTGAGATTGAAAATACTCATTAAATTCCATCAGCAGACAGGCACAAATGAGAGGGTGATTGTTTTTAAGCATGTGAGGGGAATCGTTGGTAAACTCATTTGTTTGGATATCATTAACAGAACAATCGGCGTGGATCTCCAGGGGGCCCTCATGACCTTTGCTCGCCATCTCTTCATCATTCATCAAGAAATATCAGCACCTAATATGCAAGGCGAGACCAATTTTAAGGTGAGGTGTTAATTAACTAACGATCCTGGTTAATTTCTATACAAGGGCTGAAAATACCTCATGCTGGATTGTAAACAAGTGCTAAACCATCTCTCTCTTTCTTTTTTTTTTTTTATTGTAAGCAGCACATATTTTACAGTGTGCAGGGTCAATATTGGAAGGTTCCCACTGAACCCGTTAGTTAAATTTAAATAGTTTGAAACTTTTTCTTTGCTTTGAAATAGAGCAGACTTACTTTCACTAGCTGCTGTTTTCAAACCCAAGCTCAGAAGACAGCTGAGCTTCCTGGCGTGGGGGGTGAAGGCGGATCTTCTCCAGACTGTCATGAGCAAGTCCTGGGAATGTAATCGCTCTGTTTTTCAAAAAATGCGGCGCCTGCCTAAGGACGCCTGTGCACCTGCCGTTCCCAGCGCACCATCAGAGGCTTAGGAAGCAGCAGCAAAAACCCCAGCATACATCCACCAAGGACCTCACCTGCATCTCCATAGAAGGGTGCATGTTTCACTACTTCCCTTTAGGAGATTCCAAACAGCCTTGGAAGCTGCGGGAGGGTGAGATCCTGCCCCGTGTGGCTCAGCAGCCACCTCCAAATCCTAGATTACAAGAGGAGGTTTCAGCCTGCGAGGCCGGCATCCCACGCGGAGGTTGGTTTTTGTCCTGGCTGCTCCACTTCCCGTGCAGCTCCCTGAGAGTGCACCTGGAAAGCCAGTGGAGGATGGCCCATGTCTCTATACCCTCGGCTCCCCTGTGAGAGACCCAGAAGAAGCTCCTGGCTCCTGGCTTCAGCCTGGCACAGCCCCACCTGTTGCGGCCATTTGGGGAGTGGACTAGTAGATGTGAGATTTCTCTCTCACGTTCTCTTTCCCTCTCCCTTACTCTCTCTCCTCTCTGTAACTCGGCCTTTCAGATTAAAAAAAGAAATCTTAAAAAATGTATAAAATAGAGGCCTAATGTTTTCATTAGTAAGCAGGATAGACAAAAATTGTAGAAAGATTTCCAAATTGTTATTCATTTCTGTGAGACAAGTAACCGCTGGTTTGTAAGATGGGCCCTGTTCAGCAGGTGCAACACACTCTGAGCAGAACTGGTCTGGACCACACTCAGCTCCACCAAGGAAGACGGGGCCCAGGAGGGGGGACTGTTTGAGACCTTTAAGTAACACATTGTATTTGGTTGTTCAATTGCAGGCCATCATCGAAGACATTGAAACCATTCTAGGAGTGACAGAGGAAAACAAAATGAGATTCAAGGAAGGGCTACCCTCCAAAGACCAGAAAAATCTCTCCAAGTTTTGCAGATGATCTGTCCATTATGGTTTCAGGGTTACAGTCCTGAGCAAAACAGGGAACTCACCTTTTTGCTTGGTAGAAATAAAAGTGGGGAGCAGTAGGCTGGCTTTGTTTGCTAAGAACTGAATCAAAGCAGGTTATAATTCTCTTTTTTTTTCTAAAAAACAACTTTTTATAAACACCGTGTATGAAGTGATCTTATTGCATGTATTAAACCAAAGCCTGTGGGCGTCTTCATTTGACAGTGCTGAACAATCTGTACCTCTTCTCACACTTGGGGGGGGGGAATAACCTGCTAAAGGAAGACAGCCACATGCCCAACTTCTATCCCTGCCACATTTAAACTTCGGGACTAGGGAACTTTTGTGGGGTGTGTTTGTGTGTGTTTTAAAGTTTACGAACTTTCCTTGTATTTCCAACAGAAATTCATTTTCTGCATTTAAAACATTGAATGAAAACACAATCGCTGCTGCTTGGCCAAACCCCAAATATCCTTTTTCTCCCTCAGGATATCACATTTTTATGAATTTTTTTTTTTTTTTTTAGAAAGTGATGCTTTATCGTTCATTGAACATTTATTGTACTGAGCCACTTTTGTTTGCTGTGGCTGCCGTATTTGGAAAAAGTGGAATAAGCCGTCATCTCTTTCACGGAAGTGGCAAAACGTATCTAGGTGGCAGTATCTGCTCTTAGTTGAAGATGCTTTGTAACTCAGAGCCTCCTCACTTGAATAAACACTTGTGCTCCCGCGGTCTCTATTGAATAACAGCGACCGAGTCTTTACAAGTAGAATTCAACTGTACCTCCTAAAGGGCAAATTGTTATTTAAAAAAAAAACAAACAAACACGCAGGCAGTGCCGGCGCTCTCGAGGTGAGCTGTATGATGTCCCCCAGTATGTCTACATTAGCCAGCTTTCCTAAAGATTGAAATAGGTCAAGTGCAACACTGCCATTGCCACCCAGCCCTAGTCACATATTGTTTCAAAGAATTACCTTCGTATCTAAAAAACTACCTGAATGTGCCAGGATCATAAGAGTGGTCTTTTTTTTTTTTCTTTCCTTTTAGGATTTTTTTGTTTTTGTTTTTTCACCTATGAAATTGCAGTGGTTTCTTTTCCAATGTGCCGCAGCCACAGGCTTAAAAGTTTTTTGCAAATCAAATTACCGGTTCTGTGTGTGTGTGTGTGTGTGTGTGTGTGTGTGTGTGTGTGTGTGTCAGGGTTTGTTTTGTTCTTGTCCGAGATGCATTAATTAGCCAGGTTTCCCGCCTGCGCGAGGTACCACGATGACCTCTTTTTCTGGCCAGCACTCCCTGATCCATGTGAGGGGGCCCATTGTCCAGACACTTGGCGGATAGGAAGCCCTGCCTACCCATCACAGCCACGTCTCGATGGCAGCCAGAGCAACATAAGGTCCAAGAGACTCATTAGTTCACTGGCACCGTCACGTCCTGGGAGTCAATAAGACCCTCTGTTTCCTTCTGGCTCTCATCTGCTCTGGACTTTAAAAGAAAATTGTCTCCGTTTTGTTCGGCACAGCATGGGGGCCATTCACGTGGCACAGGACAACACTGGTCCATCTATCAGCAAAGTTTCCTGTTTGAATTTTGATGAGCACTCCTGAGCCTGGAGCTACTGGCCGTGGTCACAAGAGTGTGCCCCTCCTGGATCTTTGTGTTTTTATTTTTGTTTTTTTGCAGCCCACATGATTTTCTGTGGCTTCTTTGCCATATTGTGACCATACCCTACTAGAATGTCCATTTTCAAATCTGGGACTTAGAAGATTTCTCTTCCAAGATTCGCTTCAAAGGGAAAGGCCCAAAATTGGTCTCATAGAGCAGTCACTTCAAGTAATTAAGTGGGAAAAGCCTGAGGACCAGATTAAATTAGTGAACTGTTTTAATTACAGAACATTTGAAAAGAAGCCTAGTCCTCCTAGCTAGGAACACCAGCTACTGGTCAGCTAAGGTAAGCTTGAAAAGACTCTTGAGCAGGAGGGACAATGTCTACAGCAACCCAAATTTAATGAGGCAAAATGAACTACTCCTGAGCCTTTGCAGTTCTAAACAGGAAACAGAAATCTTGGCAGATAAGAGGACTGTCAGAAAAGGGCGCGTAAAGGGAGCCTTACAGTAGACTTGTCTGCATGTGATGGAGTTTAGCGGTGAATAGTTGATAGTTAGAGAAACCAATTGGACTAACCATTTGGAATAGATGTATTGGGTGATTCTTAGCCTTAATACACGGCCCATGCACCACAAACTTGAAAGAACTCAACCACACGCTATTAGATGGCAGGCAACTCATGCTGTCCACCTTAACTCCACTATCCGCTAAACCATTCCCATTCATGAGCACTTACTAACTGCTGGATGTGCACTATGCTGCGACCCTGAGCTGCACTGCTGCATTGAGGTATTCCAACGACTCTGTGTAGGTAAACATTCAGGAGAAATATTAAGAGTACATGCCAGGCCAGGTGCAATGGCCTAGCAGCTAAAGTTCTTGCCTTGAACATGCCAAGATCCCATATGGGCACTGGTTCTAATCCTGGTCACCCTGTTTCCCATCCAGCTCCTTACTTGTGGCCTGGGAAAGCAGTCGAGGACGGCCCAAAGCCTTGGGGCCCTGAACTGGCATGGGAGACCTAGAAGAATATACTGGCTCCTAGCTTCAGATTGGATTAGTTCCAGCCATTGCGGCCACCTGGGGAGTGAACCACCAGACAGAAGATCTTCCTCTCTATCTGCCTTTACAATAAAAAACAAATAAATTTTAAAAACAGTACATGCCTGCTTCACCTTGCGTGTCAGGCTAAATGCAAAGACTTTGGGGATTTGCTCTCTTTCACCACAACTTCCAGCATGTGTGTAATGTGGCAGGCTCTGCTTCACCTGCTGCAGATCATGTAAGGGATCTTCAGCCTTTTACAATAATTCCCAGTGTGTCACGTGAAATACAAACAGCCCGGTTCATTTGCACACACTCCCGGCCAAAGAAAATGAGCCCAGGCAGGTGATAGGTTCATAGGACATCACAAGTATGTGCTCAAAGAGAGCAGGAGAAGAGGAAGTAGTGAGAGTGAAATTCTCTTATGGTGACTGGTGTGTAAGACTTCAATGGAAAACCCACGATAGAAGGCAGGGAGGGTCTGGCAGCCTTGTGCCATGATTTTGACAGAGAGGTAAGAAGACATGACATCCAGGAAGGGTTAGAGAAGGGCTTCCAACGGCAACAAGTCGGATAACCGAAGAGTCAGGGGAGTGTTATTTCAGCTACGTCACCCTTAGAACGTCAAGCACCCTCTTCTTCACTTATAACAGTATGTATCTTATGGTGAGTAACAAATTAGTAACCATCTGATGGCTTTCACAATTAATAATCATAATCAATGCTCATTTGCATGTTGTTAATATAAATATTGTAATATAATATACATTATGATGATATAATGATTATAGTAATTATATTGATATATTAAATATAAATAATATGGTATAATATTCTGTATTTTATATGTTTTAATATATAGTATAATATAATATATGGTATTATACATTATTGTTAATGTAAATAATTATTAATTTTCTCATTTGCATCATCTGGCAAAGACTTTGGGCTTGTTATCTCATTAATCCCCAACCCTGTTCCTGTGGGGGAAGGCAAATGAGCATTTTCACATTTAA